TACTTGGATCATGAGTGAAAGAAAAGAATAAAGGAGGTAAGGGTGCTTTGGTGACCTCACATTCTGCTTCATGAAAAGTGTCACGGTAGAGTCACTCAGAGATGAAGAAAGGTCCTCTTAAATCTGGCTATGAGGAAGCTATAGGACATGAAGTTCTTCTGTCAGTTCTTTAAAGCTGAGGACTTAAAGGCAGCATTTTTACTTTGCACTGAGAGACTTCTATTCTAGGCTCTTCATGACAATAAATTCAACCCAGGCATACCTGCTTGGAGGCAAGAAATAACTTAAGCTGCTCCCCAGCTTTGAGAGAGGTAACAGCTTCAAACTGATCCCATGTACTACACATACTAGCTTTGGTCTCTCCCAAGATGAAACAAGCAAGGCTCATAACTGCCCATTACATCTTCCAGGTGCATTTAGAACTAAGCCTGAAGCTGCTGCTTTATATAGGTTTTTCTTTCTGAAAACATCAATTACAAATAGCCAATGTGTAACTGTAAAAACTCAGAAACTTAAAGTAAAACTGGCCAAGAAGATAACAATCAAAGAAAAACATGTCTGAGCCCCAAAGAAAACATGCTGCACAAATACAGCCAATTTGAGATTAAAAAAAAAAAAAAAAAAAAAAAAATATACTCCTATGGCACACTGTAATAGTTTCATTAAGTTTAAAAGGTACTGTAATTTATACTTTTCTTATAAGACAACAGTAGCACTGGTTCAGCTGCAGAGCAACCTTGGAAACAGACATAAAAACTAACACCTGGGAGCACTGTTTTTTGGTACACATAACCACAGGCATATTCTGTACTCTGTCTCCTGTTGAAACAGCTAAACACTCTTCTAATTTAAGCATTAAGGTTCTATTCCCTGCCATCAGGAGCCAGAAATTTGAAATCTGCCCTCAGCACCTACCTGTGCAGAAAAGGGAAAAAAAGTTATACAAATATCAGGAAGCAGCAGCATGGAAAGAACAAATTGAACAGCATCTACAAACACTGCATTACAACTTAATCCATTTCACTTCATCCTTGGGTCAAAAGAAAGAGATGCTATGTACATATTTCTTTGCTATTCTCCACATTTAAACCTGATCTCTGGCTAGTTCATTTTATACCCCAGCTGCAGGCAAATAAATCTCTCCTCAGTCAATATCAAGAAATATATAAGTAGGATGTACAGAGAGGAGGCGGCATCTTAGCTAAAATTATATTTT